GTCTGGAATACATAAGACAAAAATAAACCCCAGGGAACTCACAACTATGTCTTTTCTCAGGTCCCAGGATCCTAATAGCACTGTCTTCTTTAGACCCCCTTTAAACTCTTTCTAAGTAGATTTTCTACGTACTCCTCAGGGCGGTTAGCTGTACTTAGTGGGACAAGTAGAACGGCATGGGGAATTCTATCTTGATCCAAAACCAGAAGTCTGTCAAGTCATCTTTTGAAGAAACCGTAATCATGCCAATATACATTTCCATTTTTTTTCTTGTTCACAGGTTAATTCTGTTAGATCATGGTAATTATGTGGCCTTGCTTATGATCCTAGTGTTTCTTAGCATTACTTGTATTGACTTCATGGAAATCTGCATCTTCACAAGCTTTACAACTTAGACTTATATTGGCACCATATTACTTTCTGTTATCAACAACTAACTAATGATACAGATGTTGATAAGTTGTTTGATATGAGAAGAGATTAACAGTAAGTGGGTTGGTATGGTGGGGATTAATTTTAGAAGTGATCATTAGTGACTATTTTCATGTTGTAGCAACTTTTGCTCCTGTGTATAGAATTCTATCTCTTAAATTCAGGGGACTCGCATACTGAACATTTAGGTAATACAAGTTTTCTATATTGTACTCCCCTATTACTACAGTTAACTTTTATCTTCCTGCCCTCCTAGTAGAAAATCTGTTCAAATGCTGACATTTCCAGTGCTATTTGTATTCCCTGGTATTACCATGACATGATAATTCTGACTTAGCGACATATGTGCTTCTCCTAGTTAAAGGTTATTTCAAAGTGTGAGAAGTTGGTAAAAACTTAGAAGATAAAGCCATGATCACAATACGCTGCCCTATCTTTCCTTTGAATTGTGTCCCCAAACAAAACTAGTTGGTCAGAGGCTGATTTTTTATATCTCTTGCAAAATTTTTCTCAAAAAAAGTTCTGAAAGGGATCTGGGTTATACACTGAAGTTATGGTCAAGAAAAAGATAACTCAAAGACAAAGAGATTTACCAACAGAATTATTTTTAAACACTTGTGTTCTGCTATTCTAGTCACCTAACAGTTTTAGACATTAATTTTATCTCCCAACATCCTAAATAATACTCAAATTCTAAAATACAGATATGGATTTTTAAAATAAAAATAGTGACCTTGGCCTTGATGATGTAACTTGGGGCCACACTGGGCAGTTCACTGGCATCGACCGTAAAACACATACCTGAGATGAAATAAGTTTGAAACATCATCCACATCCACTTTAATACAGTATCAGAGACACTGGAGGCAGATAGAAGGTAAACATATGTTTCATGAATACTGAGATATGATGACCCTTTCTATCTTCTGCAAGAAAGTAAAGAAGGAAAGAAATGTTGACTGCTTTCCACTAGAAATCTTAGCTTGGAGAATCACACAATGACTAGTCTCTCTCTTCCATTCAAAGCTGCCATGGAGCTTAATAAAGACATAATTATACAAGATGAATTAAAGCAAAATCAACCTTCCATCAATGAGCAAAGTAAGTGCAAAACAATAAGTTGACATGGTATTAAAATTCCCCTATGCTGTTTACATTCTGAGCAGAAGAGTATGACATGAGAGTTTTATGCTGTGAGATAAACTACGTGAAAAATGTTTGTCTGAAATCAGTGTATATAGGGGAATGTTTGGGAACATTTTGGTAAGAGCACACTGAAGGGGGCCTGATGACTTCCTGGAGTAAATTCAGAGTCCCTCCAAGTAGTAAGTCTACTGCTAGATGAACATCTGCTGGCCAAGCTGTGAAAAGGATGAACGGTAGGACCAGTAGATGACCTTTCATGGCTCCTTGTCCTTTTCCTATATAGTATTTATCACTGTATAAATTGTACTTTGTTTATGGGATTCTTTGATTAATGTCTCTTTCCCAATTAGACTGTAAATGTCATGGGCTCCATTTTTATAAGGCTTACTGTTATATCCCCAATGCCTAGCATAGTACTAGGAACGATAAATATTTGTTGAATGATTTAATAAATGATAGATCCATTTTTCCTTTCCACCGTGTATGTGGCTTGCCAGCTTCATATGTTAAGCCAGCAAACTTGGAAATGTCTTGGGCCAGAATCTGTCCCAGGTACTTAGAATAAGATTACTATTCTTTTGAGTTAGTTGAGGACAAAAGGTACCAAACTAGGAATTGTGAGGAAAGGGTAGCATTGGGAGACCATGGTCCTATTGGAAAATGACTATAAGGAGTTTAGAAGGTAGTATTTTTGAGGAAACTTTTCTGAATTTAGACTAAAACCTGGCTTCCTATAAGCCAGTGTAAACATAGTTAATTTTCCCAATGACTTCACTACCTCATCTCCAATTTTCTTTACAGTGTTGCTTGTTTGTGGCTTATGGGGCCATAAGCTTAAAGTTGAAACTCTTAAAGTACGCTGTTTTCCAGCATTTGTAGTTACTTTAAAAGTTGTACTAATTTTAAATGATTTATGATGATTTCAAGTTTGTTTTAACAGGAAAAAACAATATTTTAATTTCTTATCATCAAGTAAATTTGATAACCAAAGAAGAAGACTGTATTTATTCCATGGCTTTCCATGCCCTAGGCGTATTGCCTGTTACTTTGCGTACCCAGATTGAAAAGCACATGGGATGCTCTGAAAACTGAAGCTTCCTTTCCTCACACAGATGTTTCTCTTTTCCTGAGGAGGTCTTTGAAACTAGTTCCAGATAATGAGATGTGGGAAAACCATCAGGAAAGTTGCCTTAATACATACACACTCCATTTCAAATGGAATCCTATAGCTAAAAATTCCCACATGTGGAATAAAAACATTGTGTTTTCCTTTGACTTGTTTTCATTTATTATAGGAAAAGGAAACATTGTATTTCCTGCCTGTCCAGAGCAAACATGAGCTCTAGAAACAAGATGGGAGAATGCTCATATTAAGTGACCCTTCATTTACTGAAGACGAGAAAACAAAAACAGAAAAGTATTGTAACATCAGACATATATGAACTTAACTTTCATTTTATCGACTACTGAAACTAAAATAAACATTTTAGTGTACAATTATGAGAAAATACCTAAGTACCAACGATGTTAACTGGAACAGAGTACCTGGGCAAGGGATCTCAGACATGATAAAATATGCACAGGGAATAGATAACAGCACTTAGGACCATGCTGGTGGTGGTGAGGACTTCCTCTTCCCTGCCCAGTAAGCAGGAAATCACCCCATCCCTACAGGAAGTTCTGCTTGGGTTAGCTCTCCAATGAATAGGTTTCACTCTGCAGAGGCAATTATGTATGAAATTGGGTTTGATCCCATTTACAGAGCTAACTAAAGAAGACTATGGAACTTCAACATGTGGCGAAGTTGGAAAGTAGAACCTCAGAATATTACAAATTAAAGTCACACTATGTTAATACAAACAGTTGCAAACACTTTTTAAAATAAAAGCTGAGAAATGATGCCATGTATGAGGAGTATCATAGAGTAGTTATATTATGTCGTAAGTTTGGAGATATGATTGATAGGGAATGACCCTAATATAATCAGTATATACAAAGTAAACCATGGATTTGGTGTTATTTATAAGGTTTGTCTCGCTAATAGCATGGAACTGCATTTCTTCACTGCATTTTCCCCCATTGTCTGTAACTTGGTTAAAGACCAAAAAAAAAAAAAAAAAAAAATCAGCTATATATGTCAGTAAATAGAATGTACCACATGATTTCATCTAATTTGCATTGAAAGCTTAAAATGTCTTGTAAGAAGCTGTAAGAGTGAAGTACACAGATACAGCATTCACTGTGCCAAAATGTTGCCAGGCTGGTTTTTGATTCAGAGCATTTCACATTGTAGAATGAGCAGATGCTTGGAATCTGCAGATTAAAGGTGTATTGTGGATCTGCCACTTGCCTAGGCATGACCTTGGAAATTGTCAACGCCTAAACTGCTGAGCTATTATGATATTTAAATGAGATTTAAAGCCTATACACTGTCTGCCCATGCCCAACATATGGTAACATAAAAATGGTCAATAAAAGTCTATTCTCTTCCGCTTCCCATTCATGCACACATTCACTCTCCATGGGTGAAACCTACTTGTGGTTTTAAGCTGAAGACATTGTTTGATATCATTTAAAAATGTAAGGACTGACTTTTCATCCCAAGGATGCTAATTTAAATAATACATTACATAGTTTATTTAAAAAAATTTGGTGTATATTATCACATAGAAGATACACAGTGATCCTGAGAGGAATTTAAGAGATTAATACCCAGATTTTACAGATGAGAAAACTGGGGCTCAAGGAGTAAGAGACTTGCCACAATGAGACTTACCAGTGGGAAGCTGGGACCAATACCCAGGTCTCCTGGCCACCACTCACATTTATTGGAGGATTAAGGTTCTTTGACATGAAGACAGACTGCTCAAGGATCAGATCCATGTTTTGCTACACTCTAGATGGGTGACCTTGGGTAAGTCACTTAAATTCTCTGTTCCTCTGTTCCTCAGTTTCCTTACAAAATGATTAAAATAATATTATCTTCTTCATAAAGTTGCTGTAAAATTTAAAAACATAAAATAGAAGTTGCCCAACCAAAGATGCCCAGAGCAAAGTAAGCGCTTGGTATATATTAGCAATTATTACAAATCCCATGTTTTTTCAGCTACATGTGCTACCTAGACAACAGTAAATGCTGTAACATTTTTTAAACAAAATCTGAGCATTCTGGCCTAGGGTTAAAAGTAATCGTAGATGTTTACTTTTTTGCTCTCCAATTTACCCCAATATCCTAAATACTCTTGCTCATGTATTCCTGTATACCATGGAAATCTGGTAGATATATATATATATATATATATTTTTTTTTTTTTTTTTTGGGGGGTGGGTAAAACCACCTGTCTGCTCTTTGTAAGAATATATTTCCACTTTGTAAGGCATTTCACAATTTGTAATCAGTCTCTCTGTTGCTGTCACCTTAGGAACTAACTTCACCCTTGCGGAACTGGGAATCTGTGAGCCCTCCCCGCACCGAAGTGGCTACTGTTCTGACATGGGGATCCTTCACCAGGGCTACTCTCTGAGCACAGGGTCTGACGCCGACTCCGACACAGAGGGAGGGATGTCTCCAGAACACGCCATCAGACTGTGGGGGAGAGGGATAAAATCCAGACGCAGTTCCGGCCTATCCAGTCGTGAGAACTCAGCCCTTACTTTGACCGATTCTGACAACGAAAATAAGTCAGATGATGAGAACGGTAGGCCTGCTTCTTAAATACCTTTTCGTGTTCCGGGTATGGCACATTGTGGCATTTGGGATGCCTGTTTTTTAAATAAAGAGGAGTATAAAACCATTCATTTTCTTTTAAATCGACCTTGTCTACCCACTCCGCGCTCAGGAAAAATAAACCAGCAAACCTCCAGCACACAAGAAATGAGGAGAGAATTTTAAAATCACATTTTGATGATAACACAGTATTCAGGTATAGTTGGTTGGTCTTATTAGCAAGTAAATTACATTGCAAAAGAGGCAACTTGATAAACTATGACCTATACCTAGAAAATGTCCTCTCGCCACAAGTTTCTAGGTCTTCGTATTGATTTCCCCTTCCCAGTAAATGGCAACCTAGGGTTTTTTTTTGTTTTGTTTTGTTTTGTTTTTTTCATGAAGATCTCTTAAGAATCCTACCTTATCTTAGACTTTCATTTCCAGGCGGCAATGCCTCATATCCGTATTGAAGATCAAACCTGGAACAGATGCTCTGGAGTTTAATAATGACAAATAGGAGAGACTTGTCTTCAAAAAAAAAGTATTCTCTTCTCTGTTTACTTTTCTCCTTGGTACCTATGTAGGTTAATGGTTTCCTCATCTTCTATCACAAATCACTATTGCTTATCCATCAGCTGCGTAGATGGGTTTTAATGAAACTTTGAAAATTAAATGCTTCCGATCATTAAGCAGTAAATATAGGGAAGCCTAAGCAAGTCATTAAAGAGATAAGGTGCTTATTTGTGGATTTCTTAGCGACTCAGAGCTGTGTTTAGTCAAAAACATCTTTTAAAAGATAAATTGCATTAGGTACAGCTGATTTATGAAGAAAACATCAAATGCTGTGTGGTTTGTTATGAATATATTGTGTGTTTGCTGAAAGAATTGCCATTAAAATGTTTACAAACAGATCAGTTAAGAATGTTTATATAAAATATTATAAACTTCTACTAGAGCAGCTTTAAGTATTTTCTTGCATTTAAAAAAAGAAAAAGAAATTTGCAGGCGGACAGCTTGTTGTGAATGCGAAAGCATAGCTAAATATCATTTAATCTCAAAACTGTGTTGAAAATACATCATTTCCTGGGTAAGTCGCATATATCCAAAAAGATGTCACTTTGTGGAATTTAAATTTGTGTTTAATTCTGAAATAATTTATTCTACTGTGGGGACAAGGAGATGTGTCTTACTTATGCCTCCGTTCATGTAGCTAATCAAGGTGTACTCTCAAGGAAAAATCTGTACTTGACTCCTTTTGAATTTTAACAAAATTCTGACACTTGGCACATTCAACACTCTAAGGTACTTATTTGATAGGAAATTACTTTTAGAAGTTTTCATAAAGGCATACATTGAATCCATTTACTGATGTACTTTTTCAGCTCTGAGTGTGTCAGTTACTATTTAAGTGGAGGCAGTATGATTGCCTAATAAATAAAATCACTTGCAATCCAAGAATTTATGGCACATCTTAAACAAGGTATTTTGGCAAATCTTCCATGGTGGCATTCTCACTGGTCTCATGGGAACCATCTGTACAAAATTTATGCATATTGATAGAGTCCCCACCCTCTCTTTTTTAAGCCTATATACATCTTAAAAACTTAACTGATGAGGAGAGTTTTCCAGTGAAGCAAAGGGAGCAAAAAAAAAGCTTGCCTTGATTTCACCTAAAGTTGTTATGGATAGGAGAATTTCAGGATGAATGATGTGTTGGGGAGACCAAAAGTAGTCTCTCTTTTTTCCAGTATTATTTAAAACATCATCCTTGAACAATTTTCACTTCTGAGGAGTCTATATAAATCCCTATGTATGGAGAGGAAATAAACCCTTAAATCTACTGTCTTGAATTTTTTCCTGTAGCGCCAGTTATAAGGCAGGCAGAATTGCATCAAGAAATCTGTACTTGGAAGTACTGAGGGACTCTTTCGTGCCTGCATCTGGCAGAGCACGAAGGAGCTAAGGAAGCAGAGTTCAAGCTTCGGTGCTAGCTGGTTATTTTAAAATGTACAGATAAAATGCATTTCATTTTCTCTTTTCTTAAATGTTTCAGTATACCACATATTCAGAAGATGTACATAATGCATGTTCTCTTCTCATTTGGGGCCAAGAATAAAAATAAGGAATTTGACACGTCACATCGTAAACTCTTTAAGCAAATAAAAAGGGAGGTGCAAGTCACTCTGCAGGCTGAGGTGTTAACTTCAGGAAACTTCTTGCTCTTTCTCTTTGACAAATTCGGTTTGGCTCACAAAGAAATCAATGCATTTTCACATCACTGACTTTATGAAGTTTGGGAATGTATTATCATATAGATTGACAGTTGCCCCACTGGTTCCACACCACAGCGTGGACACTCACAAAGCCGTCATTAATTTCTCACACTTGTACCCCACGATGGCTTCCTCCATAATAAACACTCTGTCCTTCAGAACCCAATCAATAACCTTTTAGGCATGCCTCTCTTGAAGAGGAAGTTAAAGAATCTGTACTTTGAGAAGGAAGCTCTCCGATTCAATTTTAGATTTTAAAGCTATGTGCTCATAAAATGCATCTTTTCTTTGTGTCCCAGATATTTTCATTTCGTGTTTATGGTGGGATCTTGGGGTACCTCGACTTTCACAGGGCTTATTCAAAATTGCCCTTAAAACATTCCAGTTGTGGTTTTGCTAAGCAAGGTTAGAATGTGAAGGCAGATCCAAAAACCAAATTCTCTTTCTGTGGTGTGAAACATGTATCCAGCCGTCAGACTCGTAATAAAAACCCTGACTGCCAGCAGTTCTTCCTGCATGAGCCTGCGACACAAATGACCTACTAGGAACTTGAGAGTCCCATCACACTGAACACATGATAAATATGTCCTTTTTTAAATCTTTTTCCCTCACAGCTCTGCATCTTACACACACTGTATGTATGGCCACCAAATTAACATTGTGCTGGCTTTGCTTGCTTTAAGTAAATACAGCTCTCAGGTTCAAGTTGTTTTATCAGGTCATTTAACTGTAAGTTAAAGATGGCTTAGTTAGAAATGGGAGTGAGTTGAGAACAGCTAGGCCAAGTTTTTGCTGCTGTGTAATTTGACGCATCTATAGAAAGAGCTTCCTCGGTGACTTTAAATTAGAATCATCCCTTTTTTGGGGTAATAAATGTCCCACTTAAAATATGTCCTCTCGGAAGCCCTTTGTATCACCTGAGTTATGGAGAAAATGGGGCAGTCACTAATACACAAGAATAACTAATTGCCTCTTTAAAAATGCAGAAAAGCACACACTGTAAAAAATCTGGTCTATGTACTCTTGACTCCCTTAGGCGGTTGCTTCACCTTGGGGACTTAAAATATCCTTGGGTGTTTTTTTGTTTTGTTTTGTTTTTCCCAGCATAATTCTAGTTTTAGTTATTTTGTTAGAAATCCAGAAACAAAAGAAAAAAAGAAAACACAAAGAAGAAGAGCTTGTCTATGGAATAGAGAGCCAGAAATTATAGAAAACTAAATCTGTCCTTGGTAAAGAAGAAAATTAGCCTTCCCTTACCCTCTTTGCTTTCACCCAAAGTAAATAAGGGCAATGTTCATTTTCATCTCTTGTCAATTGGGAAATTTACAATTCTCATAATGTACTTTGAGGTTGAAAATATAAATGTTGGGTTAATTTCATTGCATTTCACAAAATGTATTTATAAAACAAGCTGGCTCTTGGTACATAATGGATTTGTGTAAAGTGTATTTGTGGAACATAGATTCTATTAGATTGTGAGTCCTCTTGGCTGAGGGCTGCAGTGTTCCTGCCTCTTGAGGAGGACATGAACACACCCAGGTACTCAATGCATGTTAATTGAGGCATGAGAAATGAACTCTGAGGAAGGATTTTCCTTAATACTGGGGACAGTATCTATAGGTTATTGCCACCAACCACATTGTATTCACTTATTTGCCATGTCAGGTGAGTTTCTTGAGTCTTTTTCCTTTCTCTTCAGAAAGGAACCCATCAATAAATTCATTAGAGTGCTCTGTAAATATGCACATCCAAGACCTGCTAGTGGGTTTCTATTTCTGACCCACTCTATTATACTTACATATGCTTAAGTTTATTTTGTTTTATAATGCACTCTACTCCTTTCTTCTTCCCCATTTTCTCACATGTAAAATTTACAGAGAATGCCTGGAACAGGTATAAAGACTTACTATAAGCACCAGATAATTATAGCCCAGGGCTCGTAATTTTGCTTTTAAAGTCGGGAGTAAGAATAGTAAACAAGCTACAGAAGTCATGCTGTAATACTCAACTGTACTTTTGATGTTGATACGGGGATGATTTCTTTACCAGCCAAACTTTATGGAAAAAAATTCTGTGGAAAGAAAATACTGTCTTAATTCCTTAAAAACAAAACAAAAACAAAACAAAAAACATGGAGGAAAACAAAACAAACTTTAAATCCATTTTGATGACAATTTTTCAAATGGTATTTTTAAGCTTTATTTTTTTATACTTGCAAATTTGGAAGAAAAATATTTGTAAGGAATGTTAAATGAGTCATCATGGATTGAAAAGTTAAAATCATGAGGAAAAAAAAAATCACCAGTCAAAAGGTTCTCATTCTTGTCTATTCCTAAATGAAAGGATGATATGATTTTAAGAAATGCTCCATTCCCTAGAAGTTCAGATATTAGAGGCTACAGAGGCCCCTTATTTTACAAAAGGATTATTAACGAGAGTCTTAAATATATCATCATTGCAATGCTAAACCACAGATGATAATAATGTAGAACCCGATGGAAAATTTAGGAATATCACATTGTCACTTGGCTTGGTACATTAAGAAGTGGAAGGATGGATGTTTTGCAAAGGAACCTGTATAAGACTTTAGAGATTTAGGTTTTTGGCAAATGAAAGCAATGCTTACATTACTTGAAAGTAGAACAGACGACTTAAAAGAGTGTCAATACTGCATGTTCCAGATTATAAACTTTAGTGGCATGGTTTTTAGTTATTT